TCCCTGAAAAAAACAATTAGGGCTTCAATAAATCAATTAACTGTTTAATACATAGGACAATAAAAGTCCAATTGAGAAACCAGCTTTGCTGTTACAACTATTATCCTCTACTAATTGAAGGAACTGATTTTTAACACCCCCTACCCCCACCCTCAAGAACCCTGTGAGTCCATGTGTGCTGATACTGGGGCCTTTTCAGGAGTATATGCCAGAGACACTTTTCTTTGTTGTCTTTTCCAAAATTATTGGTTTCATTATAGCTCAGGCTCACTTAAAGGTTCTGGCTCTGTCTGTAGGGATGGCTGCCTCACTACATCAAAGGTAACAGCAAATTCAATTTCTTTTCCTTATCAGGAAACATGTCTTTCTCTTTTAGGATAACCAAACTCCCAGTCACAACACACACTGTCATGTGTGTACACAACACTCAGCTTTCCTTCTTTTAAAAAAAAAAAAAAAAATCAGGCTGGGCGTGGTGGCATGTGCCTTTAATCCCAGCACCTGGGAGGCAGAGGCAGGTGGATCTTTGTGAATTCGAGGCCAGCCTAGTCTGCATAGTGAGTTCCAGGACAGCTGGGGCTACAGGGAGACCCTGTCTCAAAAAAAAAAAAAAATCATCTATTTATTTATTATTTATTAATTTAGCTGTAGCCCCAGCTGGCCTGAAACTCCCTATGCAAACCAGGTTGGCCTTGACCTCACAAGAGATCTGCCTGCCTCTGCTTTCTGAATGCACCACCAGGCCCAGCTTTATTTATTTTTACTTTTTAAATTAATTTTTGCAATTTTCATACATTATAATTTGATGGTATTTAGATTCCCCTCCTCTACCCTCACCTTCCCTTATTGCCCCCTGCCCAATTTTAGGTACTGTATTTTATATATATAACAAGGCCTACAGAGTTTAATTTGTGTCTCCAAATGTCCTTCAGTGTGGGTCTATCCACTAGAGCTTGGTTAACCTACCAAGAGTCCCATGCTTGGAAGAGACTGTCTTTGCCCCTCCCAGCAGCCATCTGTTGCCACAATTTCCTTAGGTGGGGCTGGAGCTTCTTACCTACTTCCTCATGTCTATGCTGAGATTTTGTCTGGTTTGAGCTTGCATGGGACTTCTGCATGCTGTCACCATTGCTGTGAGTTCATATGAGTAACTGACCAGCTGTCTGGAAAACTCTGTTACAATCTTTCCACCCCTTCTTCTACAGTGATCCCTGAGTACTGAGGGTCAGAAGTTTGATACAGATGACAGCTCTACTCATTTTTAATGACATTTCTTTGTGTGTATATCTGCGCACAGGCATGTGTGCCATGCATGGGGGTAAGAGGACAACTTGTGGGAGGTGGTTTTCTCCTTCTACCATGTGGAGCCCACAGATCGATCAGGTAATCAGGCTTGGCAGCCAGTGCCTTTGTCCTCTGAGCCATCTCATCAGTCCCAGATTTAGCCTTTCTGGTCCCAAACTCTAAGCTGCGAAATGTGACTGAATACCAATATCAGCAACATCACACCCTGTGCTTCTGGAGTTGAGTGTTGTCTCCTCCAGGAAAATCAACAGCCTGAACAAGTGTCTGAACAGCAGTGGTGAGGACCATGGCCCTGTGAGAAGCCAGAAGCTCCTGGCATTTAGGATTGCCAGCCAAGATTTAAATCCTCTATAGGAAAATGAGTCACTTCAAAGTGGATGGAGCCCTCTGCTGGCTATAACTGTCCCTGCAGCTAACTAAGCTGGCTCTGATTTTCTCAAGAAAACCAAGTCCTGGTTCCTCAATTTCAGACTGTTCTGACCTGTCACCTGGGGGTCCTAATCTACAATCATAGATGCAATTGGTTTCCAGAATGCTGCACCTGCATTAGCAGAGGTGTGTTGCCAGGCCTCAGAGGAGAAAAGGTAAATGAACAGCAGAACAGGTTGAGGATGCACTTAAGCATGGAGCACTGGGTCCTCTCCTTATCCCACAGCCTGATGACTGCCTGTCCTCATCCAGACAGGTGCTACAGCCTGCTCTGTGACCACCTGCCTGAAGATAGGGTGCCAGGCTGAAAATGGGCTATGTGCGGAGAACCTCCCAATCTTGTCCCATTCATCTCCTGCATGGATAAGTGTGTGTGTGTATACTCACATGTGCATGTGTATGAGTTTAGGTGCACATGCGTGTATATGTGTGTGGAGACCAGAGGTCTATGTTAGATCTTTCTTTAGTTCCTCTCCACTTTTATTTTTTGATGCAGGGTCTTTCACTTAACCTTATGCTTATCACTAACATGGCTGACCAATGAGCTTCAGGTAACCACTGGCCTCCCAGCTCCCAGTGCTGGAGTTACCGACATGTGTCACCAAGCTTGGATTTTTATGTAGGTTCTAGGGGTCCAAACTCAGGCCTTCATGCTTCGTGGCAGGCACTTTACTGACTGAGCCATCTCTCTAGCCCCTGTATGGATAATTGTGATAAATATTAAAATTTCAAAGAAATACATTTTAAAAATAGAAAAGATAATCACACTACCAGTTTCAGGGTATTCTTTCTTTTGTGTGTGTTCCAATGAAACTTTACTTATACACATTAAAATTTGAATTTTATATATCATGAAATGTTATTTTTTTAAACCCCTTAGAAATGTAAGGACCATTCTTAGCTCACAGGCCACACAGAAACAGACAGACTGGATCTGATGAGTGCACAGTCATTTCCAAACCTTTGATCTAAATATTTTTTGATTTTTACCTGCTGACATGGAGGTAATTTCTATTTCCTTATTAAGTGGGAGCAATCATACACAATTTGCTTAAGACTTTGTATAAACTGCTAGTGTATAAATTTATAAGACAAAAAAATTTAAAATATATTTTATTTAACTTTATGTGTATGAGTGTACTGCCTGCATGTATATAAGTCCACCTGTGTTGTGCAATGCCCATGGAGGTCAGAAAAGGGTGTGGGATTCCCCTGAAACTGGAGTTACAGACTGTTGTTAGCCACCATGTGGGTGCTGGGAATTGAACCCCAGTAAGAGCAATCTGTGCTCTTAACTGCTGAGCCATCTCTCCAGCCCCCTACCATTCACCTTTTTAAAAAATAATAATATTCAGATTTTAAATCTTTGTTATTGACTTGTCATCTGGAAATATATTATGGTAGCAAGAAACATATTTGCTGTACTTTAGCAACCTGGCTAGTTAAGATTTTTTTTCATAAACCAGAACATTTTTGTTAAAACACCAAATTAAATCTTTTATATAGTAGGTTGCTTCCAAGTCACTCACCTAACCCCCGAAAAACCAAGCTGACACTCACTGAAATGCATCATCTGAGCCTATATTTGCAGTTTCTAACATGCTGCTCCCAGACCCTATCTGGTTATTCAAAGCACCATGAAGACAAGTCTGAATCTCAGCCATCCCCAAAGAGGCTCCTTTCCTGACAGCCTCTAAAAATAGTCCTTGGATCATCGCACACCTCTACAAAGGCGGCAATGCCATAAACACATGGGTGAGTCCATGTCCACAGACTACCTGCTGTAAGCCCTCTCCTTTTTGGGCTTTTCTAGAGCTTCGTCTGTTGTTTTCTCATCATCCCCCCGACATTTGGGGCAGTACCACTTGCCCTGTGGTTTATGGTTGAGTCCCATGGGGCACTCCTCCTCGTCACAGCCTATCATCTCTCCATAGGAGATCTGATTGAACAGACAGTACGTGGGCTCATTGGGGTCAGTGGGGGACACCTCCTTCTCTGCTTTGACCTCAGAGTGTTTCTTCTTCCTCCATTTTTGCATTCTTCTCCTTGGGCATTCTTGAGGTGACGTCACCATGGTGGTGATTATTCGGTGCATTCTCTCAAATCTCAATTGTTGCAATGCCACTGGGCCTCTTGTTATTCAGCTTGTCTGTCTGCCTATCTCATTCTTGGACTTGTCCTGGCCAGCCTTGCCACTGTTGCCCATGCTGTTGTTGATTTCCTGGTATGCCTCCAAGCTCCACATGACTATCTACCTATCTGGTATGGTTCTCCACCAGCTCCACCTTCTGACTTGCAATTGACTCATAGTCTGGATCTTCTTGTCCCCTAGCTCCTGGCTGTGGATCAGGGCCCTCTAGATGCAATGCAGCATGTGCCTCTTCTGCGTGTCACCCATCTCATGTTTGAACTTCTCACAGTAACCAGCCAACTACTCCTTGAGGATCTTCACATTTGCCCATGATAGAAGTCTCAACGCTGAAGGTCCACATGGCTGGCAGCAGCCACAAAACCAGGCAGCAATCAGGGTTGGGGATGGTGTCTGGAAGCACCTGGGAGGACTGAGCACCACAGCCCAGGAACATGTGCTCCCCAGCCACTCACACATCCTGGCCACACAAGAGGTGGCCATGGCCTGCAGGCCAGGGCCAGGAAGGCCAGCCCTGTTCCAGACACCACCATGGCTCCAAGGGCAGAAGTCTAGGATATTCTTTTAAATTTTTTAACTTGCTTGACAGTGAAGCCCAGTTAATGTTTTTTGTTTGTTTGTTTGTTTTTTGAAAAAGAAAGACCAACAAGACTCAAGGAGACACAGTAAGTCTTTCAGGTCTTCAGAACTGGCCAGGAAAGGGTGCCAGAAAGAGAAAAGTGGTCTGGAGGGGGAGCCAGGACAATGGCCAATATTGGTGGGGCAGGAGAACACTTGTCACAAGGCTCCTACTTAGGGACGTAGGCCCATAGTACAGCAGCAGCCCACAGTCACAGTCACCCAGAGGCACAGCCCTGCTGCCCTGGCCATCTTAGACACTATCATCTGCTGTCACCTGGCACCCTGAAATCACCAAGGGGTCCCTTAGTGTGATAACAACTGTCATTATTCTAACCCTTACTTGAGACATCTCACCTAGCCCCACTTTCCTGTCATTAGCTGATACAATGAGCAGATAGGCCTACCCACACTTGACTGCAGTCCCTCTGCATCCAAGGAGTCCAAACCACGACACCCCACCTCCCCTCCTCAGCTGGTGGCTTGCGTGGCCTCTTACCTGTCTCTGCATCTCTTCGATCTGTCTTTGTGGAATGCTTCGTAAAATGCTGTACACATCTGACATCTTTTCTTCTGGTACAACCACAGATGCTCTAGAGACAACAGCAGAACAACTTACAAAAGTGCACTTGCAGCCTCCTGCAGAAAGCACTGCTTTATACAGTCCTGTTCTGTTCTCACAGCAGAAACAAAACCCCGAGCTCCCTCAGCCCCACAGCCAATCCAGGGAGTACTCTCTCTTTTCACCCCATCTCATGGCTGACTCCAATTTCTCACCTCCCCCCTCTGTTCCAGGTACCTTTTACCTGCCTCCCCTATGCTGGTCTATTCTGTCCTTGCTGGGAATCCCTCAGTCACTACCACGGGTAAGCTCTGTCCTGCCACACAGGGCTTTTACATGTGGAATTCCACCTACCTAGCACACCCTTCTTCACTCTGTGAATTAACCCTGTGAATTAACAATCACTTCCCCCTTTCACCTCTCTTACATGAATCCATTCCGCAGACCTACTATATGCTGGACACTGATAAGTCAGCAGGGAACAAATCAGCAAAGTGAGGGGTGAACAGGCCAGAGAAGGCCCGTGGGAAAAGGCTGCAGGCATATGGCCTAAGAAGGGGAAGGCTGAGGACGCAGTACGTTGGGCAGCATCCAGGAACAGAGAGAAGGCCCCTGTGGCTGCAGCAGGGTAAACAGGATGAAGAAGAAATGGAGCCAAAGAGAAACGGGAGAGGGTGGGTCACAGCAAGGCACACAGGACCTTCAGGGCCAAGGACTGAGATGGGAAATCACTAGGAGATGGAAGAAAAGGCATGCAGGCTCTGAGTAAGCTCCAACAGGCCCAAGCTGTCTCCAAGGTCAGAAGAAGTGACAGGAAGCAGGCTCAGGAGCAGGAAGAGGTGCTGCAGCCGCCTATAGGAGACCAGAGCTGCAGACAGAGCAGCCTGGTAAGATGGGGGGGCCAACCTGGGATCTGCTCACACATCAGGTATGAGGAGTGAGAAGGGAGGCTTAGTGATGACTTCCAGCAGGACAGGAGCAGAGGGTAGAACTGTATTTGCATAAAGCATCTCATTCAAATGAGATGCTATGCCCTACTCCCCTCACTTAGGCTAGCCCACCCACCAGTATAATAGTTTTCTGACCTCAGGCCTCTGACTTCAAATCCAGAGCCCTCCTCCCACTGCTTACCCATAACAAAACTACCCAAGATGACCTTCATCTTTATAGAAAGACCTTTTTGACACCCACTCTGGAGCCACTACCCTGGGAGGCCCTCACCCGCGCCTGTCCCCTTGCTCTAGCACTGTGCCCAGTCAGAGCTGTGTTTAATCAAATCATAGCACTTGGCAGCTGTTGGTTTTCTGTGTTTCTATCACTAAAGCATAAGCTCCTCTGGAATCTCCAGAGCTGACAGTGACTGGCAAATATAAGGTGCTCACTAAATGCTTTCACAGGCAGATGAATCCTGGACATGGATCCTCATTCCTCTAAAACATAGAGAATGACTTCAGAGCCTCCTCTTTCAAGCACTAAGGCTCCTCTTGCTTTCCTAGGCTTGCAAGTGTCTTGCATGAATCTGCTATCACATTCCCAAGATGATATACTGGGCATGCCTAATCCCAAACTCAGAAATCTAAAACACCCCCAAATCTGAAGCTTTTGATCGTCGGCATGACACCACAAATAGAAAATTCCACACCATGAAACTCCATACACAAAATTATTCAAAATATTGTATAAAATTAACTTTGGGCTGATGCATAAGTTGTCTATGAAACATAAGTGAATTTCACGTTTAGACTTGGGTTTCTTCCACAGGATGTATCATTATGTGTATGTAGATATTCCAAAATTCAAAACAACTCACTATCAGAAACACTTCTGGTCCCCCAGCACCTCAGATAAAGGATGCTTAGCCTGAATCACTGTCTTGCCTTCCCCTGCTAGATTCAAGCGCCTCAGAAACATAAACCAGTATTAACAGTAGGCTTTCCACTAAATGTAAGATGATTGAATAAATTAAAGTTAGTCCTATTTAAATTGTTCAAATGGGGCTAGAGAGATGGCTCAGCATAAAGTACTCTTGCAGAGGACCAGGTTCAATTCCAGCACCCACACAGTAGCTCACAACCATCTGTAACTCTAGTTCAGGGGGGTCCAATGTCCTCTCTGGCCTTCGTGAGTACTGTACCCACAGGTGCACTAATATACATGCAGGCAATACACTTATACACATAAAATAAAAGTAAATTGCTCAAATGCCTGTGATATCAGACTTGGATAAATTAACATAAGTGTTGGGAGAAGAGAAAGCAGTTAAGTATTTGGGCAAGGGCAAGACTCAGAGATACACAGCAAAGCAATTACATTCCAGCAGTCTTCCACCAAAGTCTTAGGGAAGTGACAGAGGAGATCGGAGGGCAATTCCTATTAACATACCAAGCAGAATATACAATTCTAAAATAGTGTACAAATTACCTTCAGGCTGATGCATAAGCTGTATTGGGAGGTCTCTAAGTTTCTACCCAGGCAGTGGCTCTCCACCACAGCTACAGATCTGGTTACCCAGGAGCTTCATCCAGAATCCCTGGGATAAGGTCAGGCATTTTTCAAGCTCTCCAGGTGAGTCTAGTCTGCATTCAGGGCTGAAAATCACCATGAGAGACTGGTGGATGGCAAGTGCTTTGTGGAAAGAGCCAGGCAGTAAAAACTTTAGGCTTTATAAGTAAGCCACCCAATCTCTGCAATTACTCAGTGCTGTACCAACTACTAGAAGGGACAAAAGGGGTGTGGCTGCATTTGAACAAGACTTTTTTATAAAAACAGCCTGACTTGCAGATCTGGCCCAATGGACTCACTTCATGAACTTCTCTAAGCCAATGTGCTAAGTCTAATGGAAGATACCACCAAGCAGTCTAAAGTAAAACAGGTTGGGTATCTCTTATCCAAAATGTTAGACTCAAAGTGTTCTGGATTTTGGGATCTTTGCGTTTACACGATGATCTTGATAATGGGACTCATGTCTAAATATGAAGATTCGTTTATGTTCCATGCATGCTGGTATATACAGCCTGAATGCAATTTACAGGGCACTGGAGCCTTTTTGCCTCCTGCTCTCACCAAACTTAAGTGGCTATCAAAGTGTTCACATTTAATGTATTCAAAATGCATAGCTAATTTTAGGGAGGAAAGAAGTAATGTTTGCTTCCGGCAGGACCATAGTGACTTTAGCACGTGAGCTACTTGGCATCTGACTCCTGTTGGTTGACCTGGGACGACATCAAGGACAACACCTTCAGGACCTTTCCCAAGCAGTATGTGTGGCATTCACAAGGCCTTGACCATGCTCACATCACGTATTCTGTATTTTTGTTATTGTTGTTTCCATTAGCATATATTAATTATCCCAAATAATGAGCTTCGTTTATGTCGGGTACTTTGATCTTATCTACCCCCCACCTCCCTGCACTGGCATTTTGACTGTGACCTATTTATTATACAGGATCAAGTATGGAATTCCCACTTGAGGCATCGTGTCAGTGCTCAAAAAGCTTCATACTTTGGAACACTTCTGGTTGAAGACTTACAGATCAGGAATGCTCAACCTGCAATTCTCCAAACTGGGGATATTCATACTGAAATGAGGGGCTTTGCATGCCCAATACTGGCAAAATCACAAGTTACAGTTCAGTAGACTGCATACCCACCTCTTCCAGTCAAGAACTTCAGAAAAAGGCAGAATATAGGAGTCTGCGATGACAACTGGGACACAGCCAGCCTGTAGCACATCGCTTAGCACCGCCTGGCCCAGCCGAGTGCCACGAAGGACCACACAGAAAGTAGCCTCCTGCAGAAACACAAGGAGGGGCTGAGATTACAAAGCAGTCTTGTCATCACTCACTTGGGTTCTTGCACATGGGACAATCCCCCAAGGCCAAAAGCCAAGTGGGGCTGAAGCACCTTGACATGAAAAAAGCTAAAAGACTTCACACTCATGAAACAGGAAGAGTTCATTTGAGTGCAGTTTCCCACTTCTGCCCTGCGGTGGTACTCCAGTGCCACCAGAACTGGAGCTCTGTACACGTTCAAACCTAATGCCAGTCTTCCTCTAGTCAGGCAACCACATGAGGTCTTGCAGACTGGTTTCTGTTAGTGCCAATGTACTGAGTATACATGTGGCACATGGTCTCTACAGCCCTGCCCTCAGCCCACCCTACAATGAGAACAGGCTCTCTAGAAGACCCTCTAAAAGGAAGCTCTGAGGTGTCTGTTCACAGAGAGGATACCCTGTAGACGATGCCTCTGAAAAGACATTAAAATAAATATGATTTATCTAGAAACAATAAATCTAACAAAAGCAAGCTATCAAAAAAAATCTCTTCCTCATTCACTCTCTTGCGCCCTGTCAACATGGGGGATGCTGGGAAAATAGAAGCTATACAGAGGGAAAACAAGTTGCCATGGACACAGTACCCCAAAATGAGACCCTAATTCTCTAACTCCCAGTTTTCCCCCTTTTTGCCTCTTCAGGAAAAAATAAAAGGATTAAAAAAATAAAACGTTGCCAGGCATGGTGGCACACACCTTTAATTCCAGCACTCAGGAGGCAAAGGCAGGTAAGGCTTTCTGTGAGATTGAGGCCAACCTGGTCTACATCTTGAATTCCAGGCCAGCTGTGGCTAAGAGACCGTGTCGCAAAAAAAAAAAAAAAAAAAAAAAAAAAAAAAAAAAAAGAACAAGAAAAACAAACAACCAATAATTTTTTATGAAAAAAAAAAAAGGAGGGGAAAAGACCCCTATTGTTTGATTTTTTCAAAAAAAAAAAAAAAAAAAAAAAAAAAAAAAAGAGGAAAAGAAAGAAAAACCATGACCTAATCTTTAATGTCAGAAAAAAGAAGTTGGGCAAAGTGGCCCATTATCTGTGCTTTTAGTAGTTAGGAGGATGAGGCAGGAGGATTACCAGTTTAAAGCCAAGCTGAGCTATACAGCAAAACTATATCTAAAAAGCAAAAATCTATGCCTCTCCTCAATAAATGTAATTTTAAAAAAGATAAAATAACATCTTAAAACTGATTACTGAATCATGTGAAAGTACTATTGGGGCCTATGTGATGGCTCAGCTGGTAAAGGCACCTGCTGCCAAGACTGATGACCTAAGTCTGGGACCCACATAAGGAGAGAACACTCCTACAAGTTGTCGTCTGACCTCCACAGGTGCAGTGGTATGCAGGTATACACATACACACATACATACATACATACATACATACACATACACACACACACAGGTAATAATTTATTTAAAATATCAAAAATAAGTAAATACTTATAAAAAAGGAAAGTTCAGGAAAAAACACGGGGAAACCAATCTCCCAAACTCCTCTAGATTAGAGTGGAGAAGCAGCGAGAGAGGAGGGCAAGACCCACCATGGTGCCTGAAATGCAGGTAGACAGCTCGGCTGCCTGAGGAGCCTAGCCAGATGTGGACGCACGTGCTGATAACCATTCTTCCTATCTAGACAAAGATTTCTATAATACCCCACCCCCATCACCACTGTTATCAGTCAGACATTCCACAGGGAGATGCAGCATTTCTTAAGAGAAAGTAGTTTCACAATCTCAGGACAGGCCAACTCACTGGAGATTAAAAAAACTTAGTAAGTAAATGTATAAAACTTACCTTGCCTCGTTGGTATTTCTCTTTGAACTGACCTGTCTGAATCTTTAATATCGAAGTAAACAAACTTCTCATAATGTCAAATATCCTGCTACAAACACTCCCCAAGGGCTTGCTTTGCCTTGTGCATGGATCACACCCATGTGAAAGGGAAGGGTATGTTGTCTGTGACAAAAATACCCCAAAACAGAGCAGTAAGAGCCACCTCAAACAGCCCTGCACACCAGGGAACATTGGCTGTGGCCCTATGGGCTACCATGACCCTGTGGGCTACTGTGATCCAGAGACACAACTTGCCACCTAAAAGAATGTCATTTCTCTGGGTCCTTGGGCACAGGGGTGAAGACAAAATGCTTTGCTGGGGGGCTCTTGGTAACTTGCTAGATTTGCATTCCTGAAGTATAATGAGAATCTGAAATGATTATTACCTCTCATCCACACCAGTCATTCCAGTTCCTGAAGGTCTACATAGCAGGTACAGAGCAATGTAGCATCCCTCATGAGCAATGCTCCCAATTACTTATGGAAAACAGCCCTTGGGGCTAGGGTCAGCTTCCCTCCATAGCATTGACCCCTCCAAAGCCTGAGAGAGGTCTTGAGTGGCACTCACCTGTAGCAGCTGAGGGTAATCGAAGACCTGGTGCTGGTAGCAGCGTCTGCGGACAGAAAGCATGCCCTCCGAGAGATTGGTGCATTTGTCAAGGACCAACACTGACTCTCCATGCTTGGCCTGGAGGGCTTCTAGCTCCTCTCTAAACTCAGGATGGACAGACATCTGAGAGGACAGGAGGAAGTACCGCCGGGCACTACAGGGAAAAGACCACCAGGAAACAGTGGCTGGTTAGACAAACTTTAACACTGACTTTAAGAAACAGGTATCTGCTTACCAGTTATCAACATCCACTGGGGATTTTGTTTTTGTTTTTTTTTTTTTTAGTTTATACTGAGTCACATTATTGGCATTTAAAGTATTAGGTATGGGGATGGAGAGTTGGCTCAGTGGTTAAAAGCACTGGGTGCTCTTGCAGAGGACCCTGGTCCAGTTCCCAGCACCCACACGGTAGCTAACAACCATCTGTAACTCGAGTTCCAAGGGATCTAATACCCTCTTTTGGCCTCTGTGGGCATTGCACATATGTGGTACACTTACATACTTTCAGGCAAAACAGTCATATACATAAAATAAAATTTTTAAAAAACCTGTAAAGTATTATGTACTATACAAAAACAAAGTCATGATCAATTTGCATTATGAAATACGTAACCACAATCTTTTTATTTGGGAAAAATTCTTAACATTGTGAAGAACTGCTCATGGCATTTCAAACCTAGAGAGTGTGACATATATATGGATGTACGCACAGAGAGAAACTGGCAGAGTGACTGTATGGACAGAATATCAAAAGGTCATCTCGAGTTAAGCCCTACTCTAGGTTCTAAGGAGAAACTGAGGACTGGCTTCATTCTTCAAGCAAGGAGAAAGGGTGTCCCCTTGATGGGCAGCAGTGTCCAACAGCACCCCTATGCTACGCAGGAACTCTGACAAGGCCACATGGGCAGGAAAAATTGAAAACCTGAAGTGGAAAAAACATCCTCACCACAGCACAGCACCAGTCCTGACATGTGAGCAGCAAGGATGTGGAAAAGAAAACTCAACAAAGAAGAAATTCCCAAGGTCTAATGCCATCGTCCGTAAGAGACAAAAACATGAGCATGAAGGCATGCACCAGAAGTCCCAGATACTCAAGAGGCCCCCGGAGCTCAGGAGTTTGAGGCCAGCCTGGGCAGCTCCTATGGTATGGTCCTTAAATACCCGATGCAGCAGTGATCAGAGGAGGATCCTATTAGGAGGTGATTGGATCATGAGGGCTCTGACCTCATCAACAGAGTCATCCATTTATAGATGTACAATTTATGAATTACATGGCAAGATGACTCAGTGGGTAAAGGTGCTTGCTGTCAAGGCTGATGACCTGAGTTTGATTCCTGAAACCCACAAGGTAGAAGGAGAGAACTGACTCCCATAAGTTGCCACTCAAGAATGACACTCAAGGTTATGCTCCAGCGTCCATGCTCACACATACACATCAAGTTGTGTGTGTGTGAATGCATATAGATACAGAAAAATCCATCTACACAGATTCAGAAATACAGGTATTAATGTGTAGTGGACATGGCACTCAAAGAAATTTTTAAACAAAGAAAGACACGACTAGAAGCAAAGCTCTACTTCAAACATTCAGTTGCCAGGACCACTCAGTTCCACTCCACAGTAGTTCCCCATCCAGTTCAAGTGTACAGATCTGATCACAAGTTGGAACAGGCTCGCCTGCCTACACACTGGCTCTCCCCGACCTACAGGGCAGCAGATGGACTGTGCCCATTTCAGTTTTAAGCTAGCAAATTTTTCAGGTAGATCTCCCCGCCCCGAGGACTAAAATGATTAGCTGTGACTTTCATACTTCCTCCCAGTCAGGGCTGAGCTCTAAGCTGAGGTCAAACTATGCTGAGGCTGAGAACTTGATGTCTCCTTCAATAGCAATGGTTGTAAACTCCAGATTTAGCTCCTTTTAGAAGGAAAATGACAAGAATTCCAGCTGGGGCCACCACTGCTGTGAGAAGCTGCTATCAATAGCAGCATCCTCAGCTTCCCATTGAAAAAGCATGGAGGGGATTTAAAATAAAAATAAAAAATATAAGCTTGCTACTCTGGGCAGCCCTCAGGAGATGTGGGAATTCCCTTAAGAAGCAACTCTCACAAAAAGCATGGGTCCAGTCTGCTGGCCTCCAGGGCCCCTGTCTACCTTCTCTAAGCCCTAGGAGGCTGATGAGGCCCCAGCCTCTCTTTACCTTTTCGGTGTTAAGACTGTTGTCTCTGCGGGGCAGAGAGGAATATTCTCTATAAAAGTAACACAGCACTGTGAGGCGTAGCAAGTACTGGTCAGGGGCAAGTTACAGAAAGGTGACTAACGGCCAGTGGAGAGGGGGATCTGGTCCCATGAGCCTTTGGGGGCCACCTTGAAGACAGTGGGATCTCTTACAGATTACTGGACTATAGAAGTTAAAAAGTAACTAAAACTTTAAGTGATCTTAAATTCCATGTATTCATACATAAAAATTTGGAAGATCAGAAGCCAGAGAAGTAGTTCAGCAGTTAAAAGCACTTACTGCTCATGCAGAGGACCTGGGTTCAGATCGCACCACCGACATGACAGCCAACAACCATCCATTAACTCCAGTTTCAGGAGATCCAACACCCTCTTCTGGCCTCCATGAGCACTGCATGCATATGGTGCACTTACATACATGCAGGCAAAACATACATATAAAGTTTAAATTTTTTTTTTTTTAAAGAGAGCCAGGCATGGTGGCGCACACCTGTAATCTCAGCACTTGGGAGGCAGAGGCAGTCAGATCTCTGTGAGTTTAAGGCCAGCCTGGTCTACAGAACGAGTTCCAGGTCAGCTGGGGATACAGGGAGGCCTTGTCTCAAAAAAACCAGAAAAAAAAAATTTTTAAAAAGAAAATTATCACCAGTGTAGTTTAAATCCCTGAAATTAATTATTTGAAAGTGATCTTCAGAGTTCCACAGGGCTTGCCCACTTTTGTTTTGTTTTCAGTGAATCTTTTCAGTGTTTTCTTCCCTGGATTAAATCTGAAGGGAATCACAGAATCCTAAGCCAACAAAACAGTTTTATTAGGCTAGAGGTTAGAGCACAGTGAGTTTAGTTCAAGTGCTCTCAAGAGAGGTAGACTGAAGACAGACAGGCCCAGAGGCAGCTGAGTGCCCAACATACCAGTCCTTACAGGCTCACTGCCTGGTCCAGGTGTTCTCAGCCCCAATGGCATTTCCTGCCAATCATTCTCTGCTGTGACGCTGTCCTGTCCAAAAGAGCGGCTTGCCTGCTGCCTGTGAAAGGCTTGACTGTAAAGCTGGCTTCTTGACTGATGTCTAGGAACCTGGATTTGAAGACATTTCCTATCACCCACCCCCCAGAACTAGTAAGAGGGGCTTTCCATGCCCAAATTTTGTAAATAAGATAGTTTGTGCCAGGCAGGACCAGCTTACACTATCTGCTCCCAGTGAAAACCCTACTGGGTCTGTTGGGCTTGGTTGTTTGACCCATGCTGTCACAGCTTGTTGCTGGGGAAATTCAGCATGGTTGGGTGACAGGACACTGAAAGCTTGCGCCTGGTTTCCCTGCTCATCATCCTGTGCTCTTCCCTTTCTTGATGGCACTATGCTCCATCACAGTCAGGAGTGTGGTGCAGTTACACAGAGTTCTCCTGGTAAATCACAGAAACAGGAGGCAGTCTTGAGACCTCCACAGTCATGACAATCAAAACTGTCTACAAGCTGCCATGCATCCCTTGGGGTAAGTTCACAGGCATAGCCCAATACCTATTACAAACAGGTCTCCAATAAGGCTTTGTCTGGAACTGAAGTGAACAGAATTAACTTGAATAATTTCCAGGACTTCAGGAAAGAACAATAAGGCAAAGACAGTTTTGTTTGTTTATTTATTTATTTTATTATTTAATTATTGTTTTATAATTGTTAGTTACCATGTGGGTGCTAGAAATCGAACACAGGCCCTCTACAAGAGCACTCAGTGCTCTTAACCAGTAAGCTATCCTTCCAGCCCCTTGTTTGTTTTCTCACATGCTGGTGTATGCAAATTCTCAGAGGCAGCAGGAAGAGCATATTTTCTTATGCATTACAGCTATTCCTATCTCATGCTACATAAATGTGCTGAATTTAAGATCCTTAGCATATGACAAAAACCTGAACTGCCCAGAGGTTCCAGCTGACCCAGTGGGATCATCCATTCAGAACCCAAGGAAATCTAACCTCAAAATGGGGTGTTGACATGAATCAGTTTCTCCAACCTATGAGTCTGCTGTAAGAATTGTTTTTGAGGAGCTGGCCACGGTGGCTCATACCTGTAATCCTAGCACTTGGGAGGCAAAGCTGGGGCAATTACTATAAGTTCAAGGCTAGCCTGGTCTATGTAGCAAGCTCCAGTCTGAACTACAGGATAAGACCCCAACTCCAAAAATCACACAATTATTTTAAAGTATACATGGTGTTACACACCTGTAATTGGAGCACTGGAAGGTAGAGAGAGGAAGATTATAAATTTGAGGCAAGCCTGGGCTACATGGTGAGGCCCTGCCTCAAAAAAAGCAAGGACTGAGGTTGGAGAGATGGCTCAGTAGTTAAGAGCACTGGCTGCCCTTGTACAGGACCAGGATTCAATTCCCAGCACCCACATGGTGGCTAACAACCATCTATAATTCCAGTTCCAAGGGATCCGATGCCATCTTCTGACCTCCACAGGTATTACATGACACAGGTGTACCTACACACATGTAGACAATATACTCTTACACAAAAAATAAAAATCATAAATAAAAATTTTTTAAAACAAAGCAAGGGCTAGGAATGTAGCTCAGTGGTAGTTTGTCTAGCACACACAAGGCCCTGGGTTCAACCTCAAGCACTACAACAAACAAAACACAATTATTTTTATATTTTCATTTTGATAATCAAAAAATCTAGTGTAGGAATATTTTTGCTCATATTTAAAGATGAATATTAATTGAAAAATTCAATACCTGCTATTGTTTAAACATTCCTACCAAAATTCACACTGAAATTTAATCCCCACTGTGAAGCATGAAGAAGATGGAGACGTAATTCAGCTATGGTACTTGGAGGTGATACCTATGGAAGGTAATTATGGTTGAATGAGACCATGAGAGTAGAGCCCTAATCCAGTGGGGCTGTGGTTTTATAAGAAGA